TGATGAATGCGTCGTAAACCGCATGGTCTTTATTTTGATTCCCGATCTTGCAAAGGTTAGTTTGACAAGTATTTATCATGTTAAATGCAAGAAATGCAACTTTATTTATTCGAGGAAGTATTTATCAAGGTGATAATCGTTTTAGCGACATTTCTAGAGGAAGACAATGTGCTTTTATGGGTCTTTCAGCTTTGTTAACTGCACATTGTGATGATATTTCGACGTGGACGACAGAGACGATCGATCGTGTTTTGGCAAAAGGAGATTCCATCTTTTTCACAGCATTCGAAAAGCGCTCTATACCTGATGAAGAGACCAGCCAGATCGAGTCCTTTGGTCTCGGATGACACAAATTCCAGCGTCCATTGAGGAAGACGAACGAAATCAATCGCCCGATGAGGCAAACAAATCAAATCAATCGCCCGACGAGGCAAATAAATCAAATCAAATAGCTGTTTAACTGAGCAAAAACAAAAGACAAAAATAAAAAAAATAAAAATAAATAAATAAAAAATAAAAAAATGTAAAAATGAAAAAAAAAAACATTTCGAAATAAATTGTGTACATATACGTTCTAATGATGTTCCTTTTGTCATTGACATGCCTTACTGTTTGTAAGAAATTAAAATGCACTATTTTAGTAAGAACTTCTCTCCATAAAATCAAATACATCTAAATTTCGAAGAGTGTTACTAACTTTGCGTATCGCAGCATTTCACTTTCGGTAGGAATCGCTAGTTCTAAAATATAATGACTGTAACAGTGACTTTGTGTAGCAAGGGTTAGGAGGAGCCGACGGGTTAGCCAGCTGTAAGTCACAATTGGTTGCCAGCGAGAAATTCAGGAAAAAACATTCCAGGGAAGCCTTCTTTGACCTTAAAAACGGTTGCCAGGAACAAAATTATTTTAAAGAAGGAAGAGCGCCATATTTGCTTGTGAGATTGTCAACAATGTAGCTCAAAATCCCTTTGCCAGGAATGTTTGTACAAGAACAGTTTTTTTTAAATAGACCCCGTCGCCTTCTCCTGAAGGGTCCCGTTGGTTCGGGCCGGGGAATTATGAAGCTTATTCCGTCATAACCGCATAAAATATGTATTACGTAAATTGCATTTATTGTGTTATTTAAGTGTTCTTTCAGGCAGTTTTCCTCTCTCAAGTGACTGTGTATTCCTGGACACAAAAGCTGAAGTCTTTCCAGTTCTAATCAATGTTCTCAAGACGTTACTATCCTGCATTAAATGATTTTGCCGGGGCGTTGCTACGGTGCATTTTCAAAAGGTAATTTTAAAACTGTTACGTGAAAAAAATAAATAACATCGTGAACTTATATCAAAGGATTTCGACGTAGGAGCGTTGCACTAGTGTCGGAAAGACCATATGTTTATTTTCATTGCTATGTCGTTACTAGGCTCAGTCTCCAGCCGTCGGGATTTCGTGCGCCCGCGATACTCTCTCCCCTGATGGCTGGGCGCATGGGGTTCGAAACGTGTCGCGCATGTCCGTGACGTTTTTGTGTAATTAGCATATTATGACGTAACGGAAGTGAATTTTTCAGTGAACGGAAGTGAAATATATACAACAGCCGTAAAGGTTTTGCTACAAGGCGGGAAATT